TGCCGAATGGGCGTAGAGTGGTCGAAACGGGCGTGGTTGCGCTGGAAATTACTGGCACAGGAAATTCCACTCGAATCCGCGTCCACGATAATTAGCTAGAAAAATCGGAATTCGCATAATGGCTCGGCATCCGTTTCGAATCGCATCGAAAATATCGGCGCACTCGAAACACTTCGTCGTTATCCGGTTCAATCTCGTTTCCTCGATTATTATCCGGTCATCGCGTTCAACGATCGCATCGATCGAATGGGTCGATTGGTTCGCCGCGTCGATTCTCGCATAACTTACGAACCGGTGGAAAGAATGGATTTCTGCGGTCATAATTACACTTCCATCTTGACTACGAATAAAACCGTTCCCTATTATCGAGACCAAGAGATCAATCACCGATACGGTATTGCTGTATAAAATACTAAACGAAATGATCAATTGACCCGAACTCCTGGTTTTAATAAACTTTTACGCTCCGGCACGCGTCTCTTCGTACCAAACGTGAGAGAAACCAGAATTGATGAATCAGAACCAATAACTCGCGTATGCCAGAACGCAAATTCATTTCGTGCCGCACTGGATTTTTTGCGTTCCCAACTGTCTCATTCGAGCGTGATGTAACGAAACACTTTTAATGATAGCATTTCTATCTAGCAAACGGCATTTACCATAATCGAATTTATTAATACCTTATACATTAATGGATTATTCCCTTAACCCTTTGCACTCGAGTGGTGACACTGAGGCACCATTAAAATTGTTACATCACGCTCCAAGATACTTTTTATGTTATAAAAGTCTAGATGTAAAAAAATTCTTAAAAGTCTAATTGTTGTACGAGTCGCAAGACCATAAATTTCATGTGCGTAAAATGCACTTTGTCATATAAAATGGAAATACCGTGAGACAGAAAAATTAGTTTAGATTTACAGTTAAAATGGCTTCGAGTGCAAAGGGTTAATATAAGCAAGAAATTTTACGCTCTGCCGTTTCGAAGCCCGTGTTCTTAGAGAATGAGAGACTTTCGCCGTTTAATCTGCCGAGCGCAATCGCGAAATTAAAAGTTAATGTCCCGGCGAGAAAATGTCCCGTTGCCGGCGGGCAAATATGCTCGATATTCGCAAAAGCGCAAACAGAGCGCACGAAAATATCCTCGCGTTCGTCGTTCGGCACGGCATGCGAACGCTTAAAACTGTATTAAATCCTATGCTGGAACTATCGCTATTGTTAGCAAACAAATACGCGATGGGCGTTCGCGCGCGCGCGCTTTGTAAATAGATAAATAAATAATGGGAGTAACGGGTGGGAGCGCTGGAAACGGGCAAGCGCGCTGCGCGGCCGCGTGGAGCACGCGACAATAATTTTTCTGTCGTTCGAGAATCGAGAGTGCGACTATTGTTCGCCGTTTTGCTCGTATCCCGCCGGGGTGGAACGGTGATAACGGGGGGAGGATCAAATATTTATTTGGCCGGCCGGCAGTTCGCGATTCGTCACCCGGCGCGGCGTTCATTCTTCACGCGCGACGCGGTAATTCGATTCGGTAACCAACACATTGTGTCCAGCACACCTATTGTTCCCCCGCGGAAGGAAGCCTCGTCGAGAAGTTTTCCTTTTCGCTCCGGACCTAGCAATTTGCTCCAGCCTCGTGTTATTAATGAAAAAGTTCGCCGAGAACCGCAGCGGATTCCCTCGAACATTCTGACGACGCGACTGGCAGACGCGGCCCGATAATTGACACGAAGAAAAGCGGAGTTCGATTTCCATTTAAAACGAAACTCGAGACACCGTTCTCGAAACTCCGGCAAATCAGCACAGAATGAAAGAGAGAGAGAGAGAGAGAGAGAGAGAGAGCGGGAGAAGGAGAGAAGGGATCGGATGTCTGTAAACGATCCGGATAATGAGAAACAAGAAAGACAGCGATCGATTCAATCAACCGGGACATAAATTCCTGTGTATGGAAACAATTACATGGACAATTGTTGAACGACTCAAAGAGGAACACCGTCCTGAGAATGTTCGTGAATTTTTCCAGGTGTTCGATTTCACGATGCTGTTCAATGGTCCGATGGTAGTTGTTCTCCTATCGTGACTAGCTACAGCAACACGATTCTCATCGCTGAAGGCAGAGACGAACGCGTACGATTCTCGATGCAACGCAAACCCACCTGCTGGCTCGACCATGTTAAGAATTTAGAACGCCGGAGGCCGAGAAGAGCGGGAATCTCGCGGGCAATTGTTTGTTTCCTTATTTATACTTTTACGAGGAGATTCCATTTTTCAACTGTACGTCGTCTGAAGCGCGGCGCACGCGTAACAACACGAGACAAAGGGATACAGCGGGAAACGAGTCGGGTACAAGGCAGACGAGACAGACCAATTGAAAGATCCGCGCCGGGAACAGTAACGGAGATTAACATCCGGCGAAGAAAGAAATCTCGAGCGGAAAAGTGACGGAATTGAGGAGATAACTTGTACGGTGGTGAAGCATGCTGCACAGAATGCAGAGTCTCCGTAGCTTTGCCTCATTTTTGAATGCTGATCTGAATGCCATTATTTTCATTTTAATTTTAATCCATTTGTAAACCGGAAAACCCCATTAGTTTACATAGATTATCGAACAAGCGCGGAACTTCCGTTTTCTCAGCGGATATTCATATTTTATCTTTCTTTAATTATTCTTTTTCGTTCTTCTTTTCCATTCTATCTATTCATTATCTATTTAGTAAAAGCAAAAACTCGTTTGTCACGGTAACTCATAGCGGATAGACACAAACAATTCCGTTTTCCTTATCAGAAATTTGTAGCGTTTATTTTCTCTTTATTCTGTTTTGTTCCTTCATTTTATTTATTTCGGACCGTCGCCTATTCAGTGAAAGCAAAAACTCGTTCGTCCCGGTGACTCATGGCGGATGGACACGAAAGTTATTTATCACTTGACCTAATAGATCGTAGACATTAGAAATATTATAAATATATTATAAAATCGCTCGCAAAAAGTAAGGAACGTCTAAATTGTATACAGCTCGGTGGATCATTTATTTATACAGGCACGCTGCAAACGCGACTCTCGCGAGGATGGTTCCTTTCTAACAGTATCAAATTCCCATACTGTCTCGCGTGAAACAAACGCGAAGGAGAAAACGTTGAGAGGATAACGGATCGTCGATGCGTTTCCCAAACGATTCGCCGAAACGCAAGTTCGCTTTCCCCGGAGATTAACGGGACGATCGGAGGCAAGTTTCGATTTCTACGGACGCTCCGGGGGCTCGATTATTCGAGCTAAACACGACCATAAATTTCTGCACTCATGAATAGCCGGAATATATTCACATCTCTCTCTCTCTCTCTCTCTCTCTCTCTCTCTCTCTCTCTCTCTCTCTCTCTTTCTGTCTCTCTCTTCATCTGTCTCTCCTCCGTCTGCTCTCTGCCGCGCGCACGCGAATAGCGGAAGTGGGTTTCGGTGATGGGAAGAAAGCGAACCGGAGAAAATTGGAAATTATTCGTCGATTTCTATCCGCGGCGATTCATGTACAACTTCTTTTACGTGGAAACGAGGTTCTAGCGAATCGCTCCGTTGTCATCGTTTCATAACATTTTTGTTTCTCGACGACTCCAAACGAGGTAGAAATAGTCTTCCCAAAGATTCTTCTCCTTGGTTGGACATTAATCTACTGTCTCAACTATGACGCTATCGCGTCGGGGCTTGGGTTGGTGACCCTCGAACAACGCCGTGATCAAACTGATAAGCCTGTTGTTGCATTATTTATTCCTCTCCTGATACTCCGCGCCTTCTTAAATTCGATGCTCCTGTACGTCACACGAGAAATCACATCTTCTTCCAACCTGAATGTCATCGCACCCTTTACGGCCAATTCGATTGCCTAAACCGATTGTTTCTCGCTTCTAACCGTTTCCGCGACACTCTTGACTTTCTCAATGATTCCAGCGCACCGGTTAAACGCTCCACTCTTTCCGCGGCACGTAAATTATCGTAGCGTGTCGTATGTCAGATTATATTACAGCAGAACCTCGATTATCCGGGTCAAACAAAATGACACGAATGCGCGGTTAATGGAACAATTACTTGCTTATGGTTGCCTTAGATTGAACTAATAACGTGTAAAATGTATTTGCATAATAGATCATTCTGATATTGTGTACTTCTGTCTTCTTTTTTTATTTATATCTTATTTTTTAGCGTGTACCCTGTATAAGAAAATGTTCTTCCCGTTGACATCGATAAACTATTATTATTACTATTATTAATGCATCACGACACAGCAGTGTTCCGATTTGATTGTTTACGTCGCGCGTCGCGTCGTTACGTTATTTGGTCACGCAAACGGATAGTACCAGCGTCCGACAGGTGTCACGGTCTCGAATCTCATTAGCGTATGATGATGAGAGGAGAAAGCGAAATTCTAGAAACGATGCTGCTCGACTATTCATAGATACTCCCCCCCTGGCACCCTTCGCCACGATATTTTTACGTGTCTTCGAGGCGGGATAGGACACGGGCACACGGCTTGACAGACAACGCGTTCAGCCGGAAGTAAAGAGCCTGTAAACCCAACGTCATCTTGGTCCGTCTGTAGTATCGATTTTCCGTGAATACGAATCTCGGGAGTATTCCTGGGTGTATCTGCAGCTTTGCCGTGAAATATCGGGAAAATAACAGGAGAAAATAGAAGTAGCCGCGTGTAACGAGAAAGCATTCCGTCACGGTGTACCCTCTTCGTCCTCGCGCAGTCAGGAACCTCTGTCACGGTTTCTCGACTCGTTTAGCCGGGGAAAACGTCGACCGTTCCGACGTTCCGACCAGAAATATCGAATTGCAAAAAGCACTCTCGAAAAATAATAATGTTCCGAAATATCGGAACAGAGAGATCCAGATCGCGACGACGAGCACGACGCGTCCCGTACACATATTTGCACGGGATGGAGAGCAAAGAGCGTTTTCGGCGATGATCGACGCGACCCACTCATGCCCGGCTTTTCTCTGTTCGCAGAATAATGTGACAGAAGGGGAAGAAGAAGATCTGCCTGAAGACGCTTCCTCGCTGTTGTCGGTGCTTCTAGTTGGTTCGCTAAACCTCCCATTTAATCGATCGCGACTCGCCCCTCGAAGACAAGCCCTGTGCGCGACTTCAAGCGAGGTCTTACGATCGCGAAAATTTTCATCCGACCTGGTCCGCTTCATCTCTGCGCGCTCTTTCAAACTCGTCGCTCGACACCACGCGCAGCCAACCGGTTGCTCCTCCATTCCCTTCCAACGATCGGCTAATATTCTGCCGGCTAAAGCTCTCCTCGCCCTTTTCAATGATACTCGCGTGCACGAGTTTACGCGATCTTGGCCTATCTTGTTCCAGGCCGATTCGTTCACCTCGGCCGACGCGAAAATTGAATTTTCGTTTCGTTAGGACCTTCGAGGGGCGAACGAGCCATTCAAGGCGAGATCCTGTCGATTCTATCCGTGCCGGTTCCCCGCGCGTCTTTCAGGTTTCCTCTTCCTGGTATTGATATTTTTATCCGTCGCGGGCAACATCCTCGTCTGCGTGGCCATTTACACGGACCGTGGGCTACGGAGGATAGGGAATCTGTTCCTCGCGTCCCTCGCGATCGCCGATCTGTTCGTCGGCTGTCTGGTGATGACGTTCGCCGGGGTCAACGATCTCCTCGGATATTGGATGTTCGGCCCGCGGTTCTGCGACACTTGGATCGCGTTCGATGTTATGTGCAGCACTGCCTCCATTTTGAATCTATGCGCGATATCCCTCGACCGTTACATCCATATCAAGGACCCCCTCAGGTGAGTCCCCCTTTCTACACCTTTCTACCGCTGCCGGCCGAAATTGAAAGTCCGAGAACTGTTTTACTCGAGAACCGACAGCCATTCTTTAACACGTTCGCCGTCGAACGCGAACTCGCAGTATATGAGCCGTTTATTTTGAAAGTGGCATAAGTCACTTTACCGTAATGAAAAGTGGTGATTTTTTAAATGTTTATACGAAATTATTTATAAATATATTTATAAATAATACGATATATTTACAAATATATTTTTTAAAAATATCAGTATCCTGAGATAACAAATACAAATAAATCTTCTCGAAAGTTAGCATCCATATTCTTAAACGCGTTAAAACGCAAACCTTTAAATATATCGACTTGAAAACAAAGTGACTTATGCCACTTTCAAAATAAACGGCTCATACAGCACGGTACAATCGAGAACACATTTGTAGAACGGTGACGACTTGCAATTTTCTACGGCACAAGGTGAAAGTACCTATTACGAAACACCGCTCAATTGTGAACCTACCCTGGAAATGGATGTATAAAAATTCGGCCCGTATTTTCGAACGTTGTTTCTTTTGTAAATCGTACCACAATCTTTTCGTCCCGATTTATGGAACGGTTGGCATCCATGTTTCATTCTCGATGATACCTGTTTGGAAACAGGCATTTCAAATGATAGCTACGCGGCGCTCGTGTTTTACTCGTGCTCGTCGATTATAATCGATGTTCCCGTCGATTCGAATTTACATTGTAAAACGATGGTGTTTTTTGTTGAACAGATACGGTCGTTGGGTGACCAGGAGAGTGGCGGTCGCCGGGATCATGATCGTGTGGCTGCTCGCAGCACTCATATCCTTTGTACCGATTAGCCTAGGCCTTCACCGGGCAGGAGAAGAAGAAGCCATAGTTTACGATGACGGCCCTGAGGTACGCGTCGCAATCCCTGACTTTTAAAGATCGCAAAATTAAAATAAAAGAAAAGAAATGAAATGAAATGAAATGAAAGAAATGAGAGAAATGATTGGACGGAAGGGCGAGATCGGCGACGAGAACACGATTTTGCGTCCACACTCCTCCATCGCTTTTGTCTTTTAGGAAAACCCTACGTGCGCCTTAGACCTTACACCCACCTACGCGGTCGTCTCCTCTTCCATATCTTTTTACGTGCCCTGCATCGTAATGCTGGGAATTTATTGCAGGTGAGCGCCACCAAATCATTCGCCAAGTCAGAAACAGAGAACTACGGTTTTTCCCTTTGGTTGAAATTGAATCGAACGGGGGGGAAAGCTGTAAGCTTTCTCGATAGAAACGACGCGCGACCGGACCCCGTACGGGAAAATAAGACCGTCGAGGGTCGCGCGCGATCGGAGAACGACGAAATTAATCGATGGTATTGTTCGCAGGCTCTATTGTTACGCGCAGAAACACGTGAAAAGCATCCGGGCAGTGACGAAGCTGCCGGACACATCAATGGCCAAGAGCTTTCGCGGGAAGAGCACCCGCAACAAGCCGCCGAAACCGCCAACTAAAACGAAGCCGACGAGCCCTTATCACGTGTCCGATCACAAGGCCGCCATCACCGTAGGCGTAATTATGGGTGTTTTCTTAATTTGCTGGGTACCCTTTTTCTGCGTCAACATCGTCGCCGCGTATTGCAAGACCTGCATATCAGTCCGAGCGTTCCAAGTACGACAAACGCTCCTTTCTCGCGAACATTTCGCAGGCTCGTTCCAGAGACTCTCGTCTCGAGATCAGTCGAAATCATAATAAGGCATATTAGATGTTTCTTTTTTTTTTTTTGTTGAAAATTGAACAAAATAAACGAAGTTGAGATTAGTTGAAACGGCGGCTGGAACGACCCGCGCAACGAAACGGAGCAACCGAAGAGAATGTAAAGAAACGGATATGAATTTGTGTCAGGTACTCACTTGGCTCGGCTACAGCAACTCGGCCTTCAACCCGATCATCTACAGCATATTTAACACAGAGTTCCGGGAAGCGTTCAAGAGGATCCTGACGAAAGGTGCACGCGCCCGAGGGAACCAACCGTCGACCAGCGAGTGCGGCGAGTTTCGATCGGTGGTGGTGCAGAAACGGAACGGATCCATGATCGAGTGTAACATTAGTCCGAGATCGAGCGCGGACAGCTGTCAGGTCGGGATCATGGCGCAAAAACACCGCGACACTATCGTCAGCGCGATATAAGCTCGAGAATTTTCGAGGCCCCGAGGGGGCTCTCCTCTTCCGAATTGATAACATAGATCTTCCTATCGGACGCTGGTCGCGCTTCTTCGACGACGAAAGGACGCGCGCGTGTACACGCATTCGCATTCGTAAAACGCATTCGCATACACGCACACACAGAGACACGCGTACACATTCGGTTCACTGTTTCTCTCTTGCCCCTCCGAAATCTCGCGGTCAAAACTGTTCATCGCCGGCTCTTTGTCCCTTCCACAGGTGATATATCGTGTTTCCTGAAATCGCGATTGTGACACGCGACATCCCGATCATGGGCTCGCACGCGCAATCATCAACTGAAACATTCGCCGTCAAACGAGATCAAATTGAAACAGTCGTTGCACTCCGAATCGATTGGTTTTTGCCGGACCAAACCGTCGACGACATTGTGCGAAACGAAACGGTTCTATCGGTGGCTTCGAAAAAAAACAAAAAAAAAGACATTGAAAAATAATTCCATTTCGCAGAAAACCCTGTCCGGCATTCGTGGCAAAGAGCGATCGATTCGACGTGAAATTACAAAGAAGAAAACGGAACGACCGGCAAACGGTTATCGTGTAAATTCGCGCATGTTTCGTCATAGATCCGTGTAAATTCGCGTAAATTCGTGACACAACGCGTGAACGTGATTCGTTCGTGCTTGACCTGTTAACCGGATGGTTTCTCCACCATGAACATCCTCCTGTCCCCATCCGCATGTACACCGACACCATGTGAAAAGATCAAAGGATCATCGATAACGACTCGTTTGCCGCGACACCCATATTTCACACACAGGATATCCGATTCACGATGCTACAAACATATTCCCGGTATAATTAGATCGAATTAAATTAAATCTTCCTTAAGAAGAGTACGCGAAAGGTTCTTCGGAAACGCCATAGTAATAACGAGTGAACTCGTCTTCCTGTTAACAGGTCAAATCTAAGAGACAACGGACACGCCAACAAACGAACAACGTTTGTCGTTTTAATCGATCGAACGAGACATTCGAAGATTTGCTATGATTCGTCGAAACGCGGGGAACGTTGTTGAACTTTTTGTCCGAGTTCTCGCTGCTAAAAGCTAAAATACAAGCTTTTCCTGGCTCGGAAAATGCCGTCGGGGGAAGAAGAGAAAATGATCTAGGTAAACAAATGTTGCTCACTCTGCGTAGAATTAGGCGGTGACCACTTGGCTCCCGATGGAGTTGGAGCAGTTCGCGCCCGAATCGCGGCCAATTTGCGCCCATACCTGCTCCGATGCAATAATGACGCATATCGATCAATTGGATATTGGAGCGTTTATGTTGGTAGGCTCCTCTCTCTCTTATTGTTTCAATTCATCGAGAAAAGTTCGACGCGACCGATCTCTTCGTTTCGACGGTACCGGCGCCGCTAGTCATGGCTCAGAACGCGAGGACGACCAACACGGCGTAAAGAATTTGCGATTTTTTTACTGGCTATTTTTTAAGCGGAAACGGTGAACGGTGAACGGTGAACGGCGAACGGAAGCGGAACCCGACGACCATGGACAGTGGTAAATTAACGGGGGGTAGAGAAAAGCAATGAGAAGAACGAGAAAAAGAAAAAAAAAAGAAAAGAACAAGAGAACAATGAAAGACAATCACCAAAAGGTAGTTCAAAACATATCCACGAGACATAATCCACCCACGATATAAGGAAACAAAACTAAATGGATAAGCGCGGAGACTGGAGAGGACACCGAAGTTCCGACAAAAATGAAAACACGGGGGCTCGTATTGGTAGAACGGAGAATTCGAGCGATTAGTATCTTTAGAGCGTACGTTCTCGTAAAGCAATTGTAATTAAACAGAAATCATGTTGATATAGAGCGTGTATCTACGACCGTAAACTAAACAAAGCTGGATGTTACGCGAAGCACTAAAAACATAGTAACGTCTGTCGAAAAAATCGTAGCTTATTAGTGTTAGGATCGCGGTGGAACCCGCACAGATTCATTTTCCATCTTGTAAATAGTCATTTATTTATTTTTCTATATTTGACGGGAGCGACACCAAGACGAGAAAAGAGACGATCCGTCTCGCGTGTAATTTTACGCGTTCCAAAGCGATTGCTTCGTTTAGGACCCGTCGAATCTGAACTCGAATCTGCGTCTCGCATATCCGAACGAACAAAGAAACGCTCGCGAAAACGCGGCGAGTCTCTTCCACGCATCTATATCAGCGACAAGAAGTGCACTGTATTCCGACTAGAGAGAGCGAGAGAATGGGAGAAAGAGAGAGAATGGGAGAAAGAGAGAGAGAGAGAGAGAGAGAGAGAGAGAGAGAGAGAGAGTTCCGGTATTAAAGAACAAACGAACAAGAATACGCAGAATGCGGCATTTTAATCGTAACACCCACGTATCTCTGCGATTTTTCATATTATCTTCAAACGTAAATATATCAAGATTGAAGTCGTCATTTATGTTCCGTAAGGCTATCGACAATTTATGACAAAAAAAATGATGGAGATACGTAAATGTTCTCGTCCGAATGTCGCATCCTGTACAAACATGTGTCTATATATATATATATCGATGCTATATATATAGTATATTCTATCTGCAGCAAATTAAAAAGACCAGAAAATTGAACATAGTCTCCCTTGTCGGAGTGACACGTGCACGATGTTGATGTACACTGATAATACATTTGAATGACCGTTCTCTGTAAATATATTAGCGTAAGGACTTCCACGCGAGTGTTATATTTGAAACGTTTTCTTACTGCTACCTTCATCGTCCTTAATTCTTGTCTATTCTCTGAAACAATTGTACGTTCTGTGACACGCAGCGGTGCCTTCCGTCGAAGCAGTTGGTCAGGTGAAGCGGTGTCGTGTCCCGCCATAAGCGTCTAGTGGTCGGTACCTCGAGCGAGTCCAACATATCCGAGGTCGATCTCGGTATGATCGGGTGCAGTACCAATGCAGCAACGCGCACGCTCTCTAAACTGAGAGACAGCACGGCCTCCACCTCCTTGACAGAATCCGCTGACTTGCACAATCGCCACGGCTGATGTTGGTTGAACATCTGATTGGCAGTGTGCAACAAATCCATCACAGCGTCCACCACGTGGTGCAAATTGTGTTCCTCGTAATACTGCTTAGCGGTCTCGCCTATACCCTCCAAAAGCTTGATGTTCTTGCGGGCCACCTCGGTCCTCAAGGTGTCCACGTAGTTCGACGGGTCGGGTATCGCTCTGCTAGGGTTGATAGTCTTGCCCAAACATCGTTGCAACAGATTCCCAAAAGTGTTGGGGAGCTCCGCGTTCAGAATATTCCGAATCTTCTGTGCGTTGTAGTCTGTAGAAATGAGGTTCGAGTAGAGAGCTGAACGATGGCGTCTTTAAGTCAATACGTCTCGGATAGTATGTACATTTGTATATAATGCGCTGTACAATACGTGTTCTCTGGCTTACTTGCATCCGAATGCGGCACTGCCTGTCGCAAGAGGAAGTACCTCAGACCTTCCGTCGTGAACACTGACATCGCGTCGAAGGGCGAAATCACGTTCTCCTTGGACTTTGACATTTTCCGATCGTCGACGGTCCAGTGCCCGTGACACAGGAGTCTCTTCGGCGGCTCGAGACCCAGCGCCATCAGAAACGCTGGCCAGTACACGCCGTGGAACTTTAGTATGTCTTTTCCTACAATCTACGTTCGTAGACGTTCTATTATCCCACCAACTTTTCAAGTATCAAAACAGTATTCGCTCCAGGAATGTGAAAATCAACAAAATCGATACTGTAATTACATTCTCTTAATTTCTCCTCTACAACATGATGAAATTCGCATACTCGGAACGAACACTGTACCGTCTCGCACGGAATATTTACATGAGTTGGCGGCCAAAATTGTTTGAAAGAATTGTCCGGGTATCCTATCGAAGTCAAATAATTCACCAAAGCGTCCAACCACACATACACTGCTTGGGACTTATTTGAAGGCGAAGGAATGGCCCAAGGCACTCTGTCGATAGGTCTAGAAATACTTAAATCTTGTAGACCTTGTTCAATCCAACTAAGCAAACTCTTATGGTATATCGCCGGTTGTACTGTATTTTCTAAATACAGTTTTGTATATTAAAACGACGAGTCTCTTCAATAAAAACAGATTCAGTAATTCAATGAAGTTGTACGTGGACATACCATTTTTCAGCCAGTATAGCAAATCATCTTGGAAAGAAGTCAGACGAAACTTATAGGTTTCTTCTTTCACCCACTCCACGAGACTCTCCGAGTTTGCAGTTAAATAAATACTCTTTCCAGCTTCATTCTTTTGTTCTATCACCTCCGCGTCCGGAATAAATGCTTCATCAGACTCGCTGTACCAGCCGGAATATTTGTCGAAGTAAATATGTCCGTTTTCGTCTAAACGATTCTGAAAGTTTTTGTTCCTTTTTTTTAATATACGTTTACAACTGATAAATCTAGAGCTAATTTTAAGTTACTTATTGAACAACCCAAAAATGATGAACCGCTTTTATGTGTCGTTCTTCGGTTGTCCTAATGAATCGTGAATATTTAACGTTGAACGTGTCGCACATTTTTTGGTATTGTTGAGAAATATGAGTACAATATAAAGACGTCGGCATGTCTGAATTCATTGCGGCTTTCTTAACTTTAGTACCGTGTTCGTCGGTGCCAGTGCCCAGGAATACGGAATGTCCTAGCATAGAGTTGAATCTAGCTAAACTGTCTGCCAACAGTGCAGTGTACAGATGCCCAATGTGTGGCCCTAAAGATATAGAAAAAAAATCAGGTCAACATCGTTTAGTGAAAAATATTTAAGTTTTCATTCTAAACATTGGGCCTACCAGCGTTAACGTAAAATATTGGTGTAGTGATGTATACATTTCTAGTCGCATGATCGGAAAAATAATTTTTTCTGATATGAATCCACGATGGTTGTGGTTTTGTTTCAAAAAGACTAAACCTCTTTAAATATTGGCTACAAGGAGACCTCATTCCATGTAATGAAACTGGAATTCAAATTAACCTATAATTAGAATTATTCTAAGATAAGTGTGAACAGACATAGTTTTAAATGAGTAACATCTTTCATCTTTTTAGTGATTTATTTTAATCTATATACAGATTTCATTTAGAGTCATCTATACCCAATGAAATATAATTACAATTTTTACACACAAAAGCTCAATTAGCATTTACTTATAATTGTATTCTCTCCAACTGTGCAATCAGATCCATGTGTTTAAATTCATCAGGCTTGCTGGTGAATAAATCCAACAAACGCAATCTCTCAGGATTATCTGTGCTATAATATAATTGTAATTCATTTGCTAAGCATTGTGCTTCTTGTACACTAATGCATTTCTTATCAAATTCGCCCCTCATGAGCACAATGCCCTTACTTTCTTTGAGTTCTGTATAATATACCATGGACAAACACTCTGATGCATTTTCCTTGTGTGCCTGGTACCATAAAAGAGGTGTCATATGGATTTCAGTTCCATAAAACTGAATAACAATAAATTCATATCCATGTTGTCTAGGCAGTGGTAGTAAAAATGTAGGGTATTGTTTTCCATATTTGAACATTTTATCAAATTGCTCTGGCGTTAATACACCAGATATACAATCCTTGTGTTTATGATAATCTTTCCATATATCTATGATTTCTTCCTTAGATTTGTCCAGAATCATATCTACCTTCATTATATTGTTCAATTCCACTTGCCGAGGCTGATCATTTTTATTCAATTGCGGTTTTGCTTGACTCTGATAAAACTTATATTCTTGCTCTCGTTTGGCTTCAATGGAATAACACATGATCAAAAAGAATGAAAATTACTGCTAATATATCTTTTCCTTTATAATTATTTACTAACAACTATACATACTCTATGCATGTATGTACGAGGTAAAAATGAATATTTAATACAAAACAAATATTTGTTGCAGCATAACATCTACTTAAAAGAAAACAGTAGTAATTTTGGAATAATAAAATGAAACGACTGAATCAGTTTTCATTCAGTATCTTATAAGTAAGTGCTATTGTTTAAGCGTAATATATAGGTTATATACCTGTCTTCTCTTGCAATTTCTTCTCTTCTTTCTCAATTCGCTGTAAAAACTGGTCGGGACTGGTCTTCTGAAGTTTCGCTATCTTTTCCGCATATTTATCGAAATAAGGATTTTTTTGAAGATCTTCCAAGACTTTTTCGAGTCTCCTAGAGCTCGCCATTATGAATCGTTTATTACCACTACTTATGCTCGCACGAATATTTTTTTTAAATGTTGACAGCGACGATAACCATATTATGTTTCTTAAAGGAATTGCCATCGATCATTCACAATTAAATAAATTACCTACTAGTACTACAATTAATCGTACATAAATCGTAAAAATAGTTAATGAATGTCGGCTTCTCGTCATACACAACTTTTGCAGATGTCGCTGTGAAACTACAAACTGTAGAAAATTGTAAACTGCCATCAGTGTCATACACGAATTTTTCTTGTCGCTTCTAAATCGTGAGTAATTTAAACTACTTCTCATTTGAATTTACTTCTCCATTTTGACAGCAAACGCTTGAAAAATGAAATAATAAAAATCGTCTCACAGTCAACGATGATATTTGGTATCATTTCGTATATATATCGTTTTCTCGTATGTAAGTGGCACAAGGCACAAGGTTCCGGTACAGCAGTACCGTAACTATAGAAAAGGACAAATGTCTCAAAACACGATGTCATATTTGACCTACATGTATGTACATATATCTGTTTTTAAATGACTTACGTACATGCAGAGTAAAAATTATATTAATTCTCTTTCAATATCCTCTAAATATGTACATTGAAATTGCGTTCTTTTGAAAATCGCGTATTTATTACAATAATTTATAAATGGCTAGTGCTGTACAGAGGAAGAATTGAAATTTTTCAAATATTTAAATTCACACTTCCATTATTTACCAATGTAGGCGGTATGCGATACATATATATATATATATATATATATACATAGTCAAGAAAATTCAAATTCTCACTTGTAGCCTGCGATTTCAAAGATTATTATTAAAAAAAATAATGAATAAAATTTAAGCAACAAACTTCACTACATTGTTCCTCCAACGTCGTGTTTGGCAAGTTCTTCAGCGTCACATGTCAATCCCCGCCATTTTACTGCACAGTTAACCAGGCGCAGAATTTTAAGAGAAAAGCGATAAACGAAAGAAATAACGAAAGTAAACTAGCTTTCATTAAGAATGGGATCGAAACGTATTCATGAATTCGAAATTCATTTTATACTATTCAAAAGCTATAGATTTTCAATGATTACACTTCCAATGCATTCATTTTATATAAAACTGTTTTAAATCGTATGATATGCACATGTTTTGAAAGCGTAAAAGCGTAAAATCAACAAAATATTACTTCTTCATATTTATGAATCAATTGTTTAAAGTATAATACAAATATAAAATTGCGGGGAATAGAAAACTCTTACCCGGGATACATAGACATATGCACTTGTAGTAGGTTCAAATGTACTCTGTCGGGTTCGATTATATTCGAATTGTATAGCGTACATTTCTCAAAATACTACTTATCAGAGTATTCAAAATACACTTCTTTTTCAAAGCACTTGTAACGTATTTAAAACAATCTAATCAGATTTTTAATTGTCCATAACATCATTTTTAAGTTGTATAGTAATGTCTCACCATAGTAAACCAAGGCAGGAGTAACCGGCTTAGAATTATGAAGCAGGTAGAGAAACTGCTTTTCCTCTGATTGGTTAACGCTTCATAGCTAAACAGTGCTGCCCTCACAGTTCTAGACAAAGAGAGGAAATAACGAGTGAGCAAGAGAGCACGATATCGGCACAACCATAAACGAAACAAGTCACGCCGACGACCAGTATAGCTTTGTCACTCTTTCTTCTCATCCGTATGCCTGACACTTCATCTGAAACACATGGCACGATATTCGACTTGTATTTTATAATTCTGGAGTTTGAACCTCGCGCCATACTTTAATGCCCAGCCAAAATTCTACCAACATCCCCATTCTTCCGTTACTGCGTCTTTAGTGGCCCGTACCTCGTACGATGAGGTAATTCGGCCGAGAAGGCCCCTATCACCATTCCCATCTTGCACACTTCGTGCGCCGAGATTTAGGGTTGTGAACCGCCCGGACTAGCGTTCAAAATTAGAGTTCAAAATTATTCGAATTGTTCCAAATAAACATTTATAAATATTTCCAAATGGATTGCAAGTACGCTGGACTGTATGGTCGAGAATCCTAAGGGGCGAAAAATACAAGTCAAATATCGTGCCACGTGTTTCAGATGGAGCGCTAGACATACGGATGCGCGAAAAGATTGAGATCGCAAGCACGGTAAAGTAGATAAGCTATACTGGTCGTCGGTGTGACTTGTTTCGTTTATGGTTGTGCTGATATCGTGCTCTCTTGCTCACTCGTCGTCACTTCCTCTCTTTGTCTAGAACTGTGAGGGCAGCACTGTTTAGCTGTGAAGCGTCAACCAATCAGAGAAGAAGCAGTTTCTCTACCTGCTTCATAATTCTAAGTCGGTTGTTCCTGCCTTGGTTTACTATGGCGAGGCACTACTCTACTATGGTGAGGCATGACTGTACTTCATTTCTGTTCATGTCATTCCTTTTCACCTGCTCGACGCCATTCGTCTTTGTCTCTAGTCGTCTTGACAGCAAATAATGAACCAATCAGAACAACGACAATTTCTTTTATGTCCTGCCGAGCGTCACGCTTTGCTTGCGAGACGTTACAGAGACAAGAACTGATAAACATTATCATTGCTGGTGGCGCACGCGAATGAGTGTATCGATACGGCCCTGAAGAAAACCTAGCACCTTGAACCCAAGCGAGTCACTTCAATTCGAATGTAATATTGCGACAATGCTAAACTCTCACCTTAACCGGACGAAATTTAATTGATTATTAAACCAGAAAATTTGCGGATAGCTCGACTGATAGAATATTTCGGCGCATCGTTGGCAATCGTTGGATGAAGACTCTGATTTGAACGCGGTCCGCCGTGACGCATCGTTTCCGCAACGTCAGTCGCTCTCGTGTTTCTAGCGAAAGGGAAAATGTCGGCGTGTTAGTGGGGTTTTCTTGTGCCAGCCAGAGAGTGCTACTTTTTGGCTACGAGATTTCGTATGCATATTTTCTAACGGGAAGTAGGTCCAGCCATCGGTACGGCTCCGAGAAGGCACACCGTCCTCGTGTTTGCCAGTAAATGGCGTGTATGTCCCATCGGGTACGCTCAGTACTTTAAATCAGGTTTGAGTCCGACGTGAGCCAAAGTCGCAGAGGTCCGCCGTGGGTTCCAGGGAGGACGGATATTGGGAAGTCAAAAGTAATATGTCCTTGCAGTTGGCGATGTCAGTGGTAAAGACTGATTTTATCGTGGGCAGCAAGTACAGGCTGGTGAGGAAGATCGGCTCGGGATCCTTTGGCGACATATACCTCGGTATCAACATCTCTAATGGCGAGGTAAGGTGTACCGTTTCGTGCGAGACGAGCTGTCCCAGCACACATTCTCTTCTTCCCGTTTTTCCCTATCTTTTTCTCTTCCCTATAAAACTGACTTTTTAACCAGCACCTTGTCTGTTCGCCTTTGCAACACAAACGAGAGTCCTTTTCAAGCAGTGATATTCAACTTTCCCCAAAATATGTTCTCCACGACATCGGACCTGGACAGATTATCCGTTTTCTTTCCGTTCAAAAATACACAACATTACGAAAACTTGGAAAAAATTGCATTTGCTCGATCGTTTCGTCTGATTTGACGATTATATTAGCAGTTCCTTTGTCCAATCGCATTTTATTGAGCTGTACGCGATAATGTTAACCTCTGCGTATAAAAAAGGTGCATTGTTTTAAATATTATGCGCGCGAGATAGTAGTCGATCGTGAATCGTGTCCGTGATATTTCGATTGAAATGTTTATAACGATCTTTCTATAGCGATCGAAATCCATGTCTATACAGTTACAATTTTTCTATTGTAAGCAACGGTTATATATAGACATTGTTTGCATAAAAATTTCATACAATGAGATTGTACTACCTTATGTGTGATTTCATAAGTTTCTGATTAGGATTTAACTGTGCAGAACATTGTTGATACTCTTTAATGTGAAATAATAATTCGCGTATTATAATATATATGTGTATATATAATGACCAACAAAATATTTGTGAAAAATAAAATTGATTGGAATGCCAAGAGAAATAAAAATAAGTTGTAATTTTTAACTTTTTATTTAAGTGAATAATTCACAACTTTAAACACTGCATTTTATAGACCTCTGGAGATTTTTACATCTTTCAATGCTTCTAGCTCATAACAATGTTAACCGATTTTGATAGTATTCTCGGCATGTATATAAATTACCAAGATCTACAAAATGCAATGTTTCAAGTTTAATTATTCACTCAAATAAAAAAGTTAAAAAATACAAGTTATTTTATTTTCATTTTATTTTTCGCAAATATTTTGTTGGTCATTATTTAGTAAACTAGACTCTCCAAGTCAATCAGTCCACTGTTTTAAAACTTATTCCATGTTAAAAAGTGTACGAATATTTTTGTGACTGTATGATACAGATGTATACATATATATGTCTCT